TCTTTGGGAATATCGATTACAAAAAGTCTGGCAATGCGTTTGAAACCGAGCAAAGGCATGGAGGATAAACTAGGTCTTAAATCTTACAAAGACCAAAAGTATCTGTTTTCATCCCTTTATATGGGTTTCAGCAACTTAAGAAAAAACAGAAGTTTCATCCATTCTTTTCCTCTTTCAATATAAAGTCTGGGAGACTTAAATAACATTGTTTTCATCCATTCTTTTCTCATAAAGGATAGCTCAGCATAACCGAGTCTTACTATGTAATAAAAAGTACTTTGGGATGAGGTGTATAAACAGAAGAAGAGGAAAAATGAAAAAGGCCTGTGGACATTCTTGTATTCAGAAGCCCTCTCCTCCCTCCGTGTGTTTCCTTACTGGCACAGGCGTGCTGCTGTAATACTTTAAATTCTGGCATGGGGTTTAGGGCTGCACCCCCACCTCCCTGTCCGCAAACACACACACACACACACACACCCCTGCACATTCTCATCCCCTTTTCCTGAATGTTCTGCAGATAAGTCTTCCCGGTCTGGGGGCCGCAGCCAACACAAACAAGTATTTCAAAGCAGCGAGGATAGAGTGGTTTCCAGTCCATCACACCAAACTTGGGAGAAACAGCTTTCCTAAAACCCTCCTCCCTCCCTCCGACTTTTTCGTTGCCTCTCTCCAATTGGCTCGGCTCGTGTTTCTCTCTCTTCTTCCCCTCTCCCTGTGGGTTTTCCAGAATCTGCCCTTTTAAAGCGAGCCGACTGCTCAGGCAGCCCTCCGCTGATAAAGGCCGGCCAAGATCAAGGGGTCCCGCTTCCATGAGGTGGATTCACTCGGTCAGGAGGGTGGTTTCATGCAGAGCTACGGGACGTGGCCAGATTCTCGGACATCTGGGGTACATCCCCCCAACAAAGGAAACAGAATCACAAAAATGTTGATCTTTAGAAAATACCAGACGGACAGAAATGTTTTTCAAGTTTTGAATCAAACAAAGACAGTAACTTGTCAAAAGTAGCCTGTACTTAAATTAATTACAAAAAATACAACAATTTAAAAAAAAATCCTTGTCCCTTTTTATGGTAAGGCCATTTAATATTTAGGTTAGGGTAGCTGTTACCCAACATGGTAAAAACTATTTGAGATATAAAAAAACATTTCTGACTTTATTAGTTTCTTAGCAATATCATCAGTTGTCACAAGTTTGCCAGTATTCACTGAAAATAGCCATCGTAAATACTGGTCATACCAGACCAAGTAAGGGCTAGCAATAAAACTCCAGAGTCACGAGAACTGAGCTGAGGGACATTTCATTGCCCTTATTTATTTTTGCCTTACAAAAAAAAGGGGTTTAAAGTACTTCGGCACAACTCAAAAGAATAACCACCTCACATTTTCATGGGAGATTTGCTAAATGGACTTGGAAGTAAAATTGAACAGAAACATGGTCGGGTTGTCATTTGTTTGGCTGGAAGTGGAGCGGCTGTCACCGACTCCACACACACACACACACACACACAGACAGGCCACAAATACCACACTGGCCACCAACTGAGGCTGTTAGCTGTACAGTGTGTGGTTGAGAACACAGCACACGCTGTACACACAACTATCAAATAGTGAGGCATCAGCCAGAGGCTTCCTCAGCTCTGTTTTGATAAAAAAAAAGTTTAAATTATGTATCCCTTCAAGGATTTTTTCATTTAAAAGTAACACTTTAATCTTGTTCTTGTCATCCTTTAGATTATATTAAAATCGTCGTAATAATACGAATCAATAATAAGAACAGCCTTTATTGCTAGAAAACTATTCTCTAGTACAGGGGTGTCAAACTCATTTTCACTGAGGGCCACATCAGCGTATTGGCTGACCTTAAAGGGCCAGATGTAACTTATAAATGTAACTAAATGTAATTGAATGTAATGTAAAAGAAATGTAACGACGCCTTAATGTTAAATAACTCATTATTTATCCAGTAGTTGAAAAGGCATTGTAGGAAATGTAGATTTTGGTCAAAGCACGCTTTTAATTTTAAAAATTTTTTTGGTATTCATTTTTAGACACTCAAAACTTTTAAGCTCTCACGGGCCACATAAAATGACATGGCGGGCCACATCTGGCCCGCGGGCCTTGAGTTTGACACATGTGCTCTAGTACATTAATCAAGCCTGTGTTGTTTTTGGTCGCTGTAGTTTTTAAATCAAAGTACTCACATAAACAAATTTACCAACTTATTTGACTGATTTAAGGCTGCACTGTCTTCATATTTTTTAAAATGTTGTTTTGATGCTACATTTAAAGATGGAACAAATGAAGTGAAGAAAAAAATATATCTGGAGCTCGATTCTCGTCAACTAAAAAAGATTTGAAGCTGTCACTGCCTCAGTGAGCAGCTTGACATTTGCTGTCCCCAAAAGAAACGGAACATTAACTTAAACCTGTTCTGTATGATGGAGTTTGGAGGTCATTTCGTGGAAAGTTATGGTCTCGTGGATGCTTCGTAAAAGAAAGCGTGAGTAGCTGGTAAGTAGCTGTTAGGTTCTGCTTTGTATTATCATCAACCCCCACCCTACATTTGATGTTATTTTAGGTTAAATTGCTCAATAGCTCTTTAGGAATGTCAACCATAGTGACCTACTTGGAAAACCCAATAAAAATATGTGTCGAGAATGAATCATTTGGTCGGTTGTACTTCTGCAAATTTCTTATAAAGCTGCCTCTCTTTAGGCAACAGGTCGAATGTCTGGTCTTTGTAGGTCGCAACTAATCCATAAAACAAGTTAGCCAATAAAAACGTGTCAAAACGAGCGCTTGTTTAAACAGTCAAGGATCAGGAAATATAAAGTTCACTGAAACGGGCCAATGTGAGCTACCTGTTCGGCCCCTACCAGACCAAGTAAGGCAAATGTCACCGTGCGAACTGATGCAGGCCACAAGTACTCTGAGCCTATATTTGAAAGCACCGATAGGTTTGTGAGAGAAGGGCTGTTATTTTAAATAAACCGTCCAACAGCCGTTCGGTGTCGCCTCTGACCTACAAACAGAACAGAGCATGGAAATATGTACCAGAATAAAAAATAAATAAATAAATCTGGTGTGGAATTTTGTTCTTAAGCAAAGAAATGATTCCCCCCCCCCCCCCTCTGTCTTCCTGCATTGTGAAGTGAATCCCTTCTCCGTCAGCCCCCCACCCCTCTTGTCCACCTGTGTTCCGTCAAGACAGTGTTTTGTCATTCTTGACTCTGATGTAAACTGTTTAGAGTAAGAACACTTTCTCGAGTTCCAGGCCGGATCCCGTCCGCTCCTTAAAAGGCCATCAGATGATGCTCATGTACCTGCCGCTCTTTTCAGCCGCATCCCTGCTCTGATGTCACCCCTCCGGAATGTCCCCCTCCTGGTGGGATCACCCATGAAGCTCTATGGGCTCATATGGAGTTTTAACTCGCACCTCTGTCTGTATCCCTTTGCTCAGTGTGCGATGGGCCGGGTGATGGGTTGCGAGAAAAAGCCGGCTGGGATGCGAGGAGCCTGCCGACTGCTGAATAGAAGCAATGAGAGGAATGTGGAGCTTCACAGAGAGCAGCACTCTCCGAAAGCTCTGCTGAGAGATGCAGCTATTCGGAGGAGAGGTCACATCCCTCCAGGACAATGATGTTGATCATCATCATCATCATCACGATCTGCGTGCTGGAAAAATCCCAAGCTGACCTTTGTGATCCTGAACACAGACTCTGACTCAGAGGGCAAAACAAAGTGTGAGGACTGGGAATATGGCGCTTCACTGAGGCGGGAAACTTGACTTTATCAGCAAAAGGACCACTATTCCTCACTGTCTCCATTTAATATAGTCTCCCACGTCTATTCTGACTTCTTTTTTTCTTTCTAAGCTGGCATCAGGCACTTTTAAAGCCCAATATTTACATACGGTCTCATCAGATGTGCATGAAACCTGATGCATTTATTTTGCACCAGCTTCCCGGCAATCCTTGGACCAAACCCATCCCCAACAACGGTCCGGCTTTGCCAAAAGTTTGGCAAGTTCTGTCCATCCAATAAAAATGCAAGTATCAGGCAAACAGAGCAGCAGCATCTCCCACGGACTAAAAAGCCCTGACCCCTTCCATAATCTAATAAATACCTTGGCCACTGATACCTGCTTCCAGCTCCAAAACAACCACCTACTTCCATGTGATCCCTTACCAAAAGACATGGATTTCATCACAGCCTCCTCATCACAGCTGCTTTCTTTTCCAGCTGTTTGGGTTGACATAATAACTCTTAGAACAGGACTCTAGTCAAATAAGTTGCCCCCAAAAATATTGAACGCTCCCACGTTTGGGGTGTTTATATCCTCCTGAGACCTGAGCTTTTATTTGGTGTGCATTATTGCTTTATTCAAGATAAATGGGATTAGTAGAACCTAATAAGTTAATAACTAGACTTTGTCATCATGGTACAGGTAGTTTTTGTTTGTATTGGCCCAGTGGGTTTATCTTTTTTATATTTGATAGTGTCTACTATGAAGGCCAAGAGGTCAATAGTAGGAAGAAAATAAGAGTATCATGCTAAAAAGAGGCAAAATGCAATGTCCTCATATGAGGACGCAAGAGGATATACAATGTACGTCATGGTCTTGAACCCCCCCACCTGAGGAGTCGTTTCTCCAGATGAAGTGAGTCCACATCCCTCAAAAATGTTTTAATTAGACGAGAAAAATGAGTACATACCTTGCTCTTAACCTCGGCAGAAAGTCCAAAGGCTGGGCCGCTCCTGAAATGCGTTGTCATTCTGTCGTTTTTTTTAGTCTATTTACAGAGGAGCTGGGGAAGAGCTCTGAAAACCGAGAGGCAGGTTGCCGCTGACTTTCCGAGGTAGCTTGAAACGCAGATAGGAAGTCCCCGTGAAATTCCGTCGACGTCTCCTTTTTTTTCTCTCTTTCAATATACAGGCTGTGTAATTAGTCGAAGACTCTCTCGGACCGGCTGGTTTTTCGTAGACAAATTTTCCGACACTTTTCTGAATCTTTTTAAACTCTTCCCATGTGTGTGCTCGCTGATTGGCCGAGGCCGCCGTCCAATCCGGACGCGGCGTCCTCATCAGGGGGAGTGATGTCACCGCTCGGGTATTAAGATTTAATCAGTGTCACTTTTTCCACTTTCAGTCCAGCAGGGGATGATTCTGGCTAGTGTAAAGATGTGATTTTCTGAAGTTATGTCACTGTCATGTTAAGCCGGAGTTCTGTTATTAGTCATGGTCCTAACCGGCTTTATAGGAGCAGTGACAAATGTTTGTTTAGCCTCATATAAAGGTCTAATCTGTGCTTTGGATCACTAAGCGCTCATAAAATCCGGAAATAAAACTGATGTGCAGCTTAAACCGAGAAATGACACTAATATTCTAGGAAAGAAAGCAATTTTGATACAGAAAATGTATCCCTGATGTTTATGACCTATGAAATAATATACCCAACATTTACCTCTTTGATAAAGTTACTTAGCTAATGATCAGTTAAATATTAAACTTCAAAAGAGCTGGCAGCTAAAAAAAAAGCCTTGCTATGACTTCTGAATGTAACACATTACCAAACTAAACAAAGCTTTATATATTACTTTCCGGCCGTCCATGCAAAGCATTCTTGTTTACATGTCAGCTAACTTGCATTCCAAAGTTCCATATTCATCCTCAGAGCTTACAGTCCCTAAAACAAACCCAGTCCTCTTAATCACATTCATAAGCTTTTTATTCAATCACTTGCTCTCATACCGCTGCCCAGGCATTTCTATTATATGTACATCTGTTGTCCTTAAGTTTATGCTTGTAACCTTTGATAGGATTTGATCATATATGGCTTCATCCAAAGGATGAATTCACTTTCAGGAGTATCCACAATCACTATTATAGTGAGTTTTCACTCCTGTAGAGTCAATCATAGCTTTAAGTTGCTATTCCGAAGCTTTAAAACAATATTGGTAGCTGAGTTTGTTTTTTTTGTTTGTTCCAGAGGCAATATGGATGATAAGCTCTGAAAATAGCATCAACTTAAATCCAAAATACATCCCCACCGCTGAAAGGCTGAGGGTAGAATGTCGGACATGTGCTCGACTGTGCATGAAAGCTACTGTCTGACGTCACACAATGAGGTGGTTTTCCTCTTTTACCCCGGCTTGTTGCTCCTCATTCCCTTCCCATTCCGACAAACGACAAAGAAAGGAGTTCAGTGGGGTCAGCAGGGGCTCTGTCTCGCGGAGCTTCTACTGGATTCCAGAACAAAATGATTAATCCTCCGAGTATTTCTGTGTCAAGCATGACATTTCAACCAAAGGGGAACCATTCTGGAAAGTGTGTGGATGGAGGAAAGAGAAAGGGGTGAGGATTCAAAAGGAATGAGTGCAAATGATAAGTGGAAATCCACTAATGGCCAGAACCAGGGCGGTGTGTACGAACACAAACACCTACAACGAACTACAGCCGTACAAATATCTGCATGGCGGGCTTTTTATTGACTACAGTTATTTTTACAACACGGCACACAGCAGCCAAGATGCACCATCACCGTCACCTGTGGGAATTAAAATGCAAAATGACTGTAAAATATAACTTCAAATCAAAGAGACACTGTCTTTATTGAAGGAGAGCTATTTCTCACTTTCAGGAGATCACCAATGGAATCACGTTCATCCCACTATTGCATTTATGATGGAGCTCGTGTGACAAAAGACTAATGGGATTAGGGGGAAGATGGTCTAAAAATGTCCAAGTTTCCAAGTTTCGTCAGCTAATAGATCTGAGTTATAATAAAAAACATGAGCCTGCCATGCAGTGGCAGAGGTTTAAAGCTTCAAACATCCCTGAAAAGTCCCGGATCCTGCCAAAAGCTGAGGAATTTCAGTCTTGAACTCTGTGCACAGAGACAGCTGAACAACTGACAAATGAGAGCTTAGGAGAGTCAGCAGTTTACAAACTCATATGCAGGAGGATGAATTGAAAACATCCCGAAACAAATAATATAGAGTAAAACTCAACATTGAAAACAAATCTAATTTTGATAAAACAAGAGTCGAAATGAAAGTTCTGAAGTTCCTCGCTTGCAGAGTTCCTGATCTGATTATCAAATTCAAGTCCAATCTCAGGGGCAAAGAGACGTATATGATGGGTAATGGACCACGCAAGTCTGGTCAAACCTACACTAAAGTTGCTTTAGTCATTTTTGAGAAGGGAGGTAAATACAGTGAGTCAGCAGAAAAAATAAAACAAACCAACTCAGCTGATCATCAAAAATGGCCTACAGGAGGACAGAATTCTGCATTAGTTTTGCACGGCTGGAGACACGCTCATTTATGCATGGTTGCAATCCCCCACTCTTACACACACACACAGACACAGACACACACTCAAAACGAGACGCACGCAAAAACCAAGCGAGGGTCTTATAAACATCTCGCCGAGAGAAGAAGCACACGCATGGAATTCGGACGCTTTATTTGGGCAATATGGGAGAAGGGAAGGGCCTAGCTAACCAGACCGGACCTGAGATGCAACGTCTTTCGAAAGGAGGAATCCCTCATGCTAAAAATAACAAGAGTGCACTCAGACATTTACCGCATGGCGGACTTCGCTGTTTACGCTGGCTCCACTCTCGTTTCACGCTTTGGCTAAATTGGGCTAAATTGGATGTGCAAAATGCCGTCCAGATGGGAGCAGACGAGTAAAGAAATGGTAACAATATACACCCATCAAGACGTGATGAACTCAGAGTAGCGATTTACAAATAGGGACCTAAGCATTGATTTACCGTTGAGTTTCCAGTTGTGCTAAGGGCGCCCTGAACAAAATGACTCATCTCAGAGAGAGCATATTAAAGTAAACACACACGCAATGAGACAAACACGCAACAGGTCTCAAGCCGAATACACTCCGACACGTTTAAGACCATTTTAACCCGAAAGAGCCCTCTAAATTGAAATCAGTTTAGTAAAAACCTGTGTGGCATTACAGATGTTTGACACTTTGTGCTGGTAGTTGTTATTAAAAGTGGTCCGTTGGGCCCATTTGGTCATTTTTTCTTTGGAAAACGGGTTATTTTTAGAAAACAAAACAACGGACTGGGTTCTTATGGGTTAGTTACCGAAACGAAGCGGGGTGAAGGAGATTTGTGCTGTTCAAAAAAGACAGAGGGGCATTTCTGCCATGAGCCATTTGTCCCTCCACCCCCTCGGCCAATCTCCACACTCCACTCTGGCTATTTATGGTAGAAGACCTCATGATTCTACGCAACTCGGAGGAGTTCTGAAGGCTGAGTTCATGGCATTATAATTCTAACCTGTAGCTCCAGGAAGACAGGAAGCTTCAAACAAGACTGGATTTGGTCAGTGAAACCACACTCGGACCTGTTCGATCCCTAACTCAGGTCACCATTTCTTAATGTACATTTGTGTGCATTTTCACACGTTCTTGTTGTCTAGTGTTCTTCACAAGCTTTGCTAACTTTTATTGCTGCTATACTGTACATTACATTACATTATTAAGGCTATCAAGACTATTCTACTGGTCAAAATAGAAAAAAAAAACATACATGTGATCTTTTAATAACTGTAAACTCTTCCAATTTTAGAGGGATTGTAAAATATCTAGAACTCTTTCATAGTTTATTATCCATTAATGGAGACTGACATCATCATTCATCATAACATATCATTTAATTATACCTTCTTTTATATATACCTCCCTTCATCCTTAATTAAGTATTCAAACCAAATGACATTTAGTCCAGTTTAGTTCATCATCATAGTGAAATTCCATACTTTTACAAGCAGGATGATCAAAATGTTATATATACCAGTATACCATCTGGGCTACGCGGCAATTGTGGTGCTCAGGTTACTTAAATTTTTACTTTAAAATGCCCGAATACTGAATCCGATCTCAGATGTCTGGCGTACTTTTTTTTAAAGCTCTTAATAACAGAGCGTGGATGGCCCCTAATTGCAGAGCAAGTTGTCCACCGGTTACAACGTTGACGTATCAATTCCCGGTCACCGCAAAAAAAAAAGAAAAGCCATCTGGTTCTGATCTGCTGATCTCTGGGTGCACAATTCCTGTTTGCCAGAGCCTGGTGAGCTCTCCGGGGCCCCTAACACCCGGGGGCCCCTAACACCCAGGGGCCCCTAACACCCGGGGGCCCAGGCCTGTGTTGACAATCCCTCTTTAAATTCACCTCAATCAATTCTTGCCAAGACTTTAAGCCCCGTGCAAAATGGGGTCTGTTTATAGCTCCTGCAAAGTCTGGAATGTTGATTTTCTTTTCTTTTTTCCCCCTCTTTTTTTGTTTTTTTGAGGGTGTCTCAGATATGTTTTTGTTTCTCCATGTCTGGGAAAAAGTCTCGTCTCCACGAATTCCTCCTGAAAGAGACCCATCTCTTTTTTAATCTATTTTTTTTTTTTTTTTGCGTGGATTGGACTTTACGTGGGTTCGTGAAGTGGAAACGTCCCTATAGGACGAGTTTTGTGCATCATCAGGTGTGGACAGATGCAGTGCATGTGTATAAAACACGCAGGTGACGACGTAGAGCGCGTGGAGAGATGACGCCGGGAGCGCGCACCGGGAGCGCGCGCCGCGGCGGTCCAGAGGAAACTGCGGGATGGAGTCTCTCGTTATGTGACCATGTTTGGAAAAACCCCCCAGGCCCGGGCCTTTCCCAAGCCCCCCCCCCCCTTGACCGGCTGGTGCACGTTCACACACGCGGTAGAGATGGTTTCAATCACGGACTCAGACCCACACACACACACCTACACACACATACACACCACACCCCTCCGCACAGCCTCCTCCTCAGCTCCAGATCTCTTACTTTCCGCTCTCCTCATCACTGTTTCAGGCAAAAATCCTGAATCCTTTCGCCCCTCTTTTTACTCTGGGTTGGAGTGGCCTTGTTAAATAGCGCTTCCTCTCCAGCAAACACGTTTTTAAAAGCAAAGGCAAACACGCAGCAGCTGGGCCAACTTCCAGTAGCTGCTCCTCGTTGCCAGGGTGGAGCTTCA